TAATCACTGGAACAATCAATACACAAAGAGATAATCAAAATCACATTAGGTAAATTAAACCTGAATATTTAAAAATGTACAAATAACCCAACAGAAGGCAGGAAAAGAAATACTGAGGAATAAAAAACAGAAGAAACAAAACAGTAATAAAATAATAGAACTAATGCAAACAGCAATAATTATATAAAATGCAAATACTTTAAACGCACCAATTAAAATCTAGAGACTGTCAAAAAAAATGACAAAACTATATGCTACTACTACTAAGAAATTCACTTCAAATATAATGGTATGAGTAGGTTAAAAGTAAAAGAATGGAAAAAGATATGCAATGCAAGCATAATCAGAGGAAAGCTGGAGAGACTATATTAATATCAGACAAAAGAGATCTCAAAGCCAAGAGGAACACACCATACACTGATAAAAGGATCAGTTCACTAAATGTGTATGCAACTAGCAGCATAGCTTCAAGTACAGGAAGCAAAACCTGACAGAACTGGCAGGAGAAATAAACAAACTGGTAAGAGTTGGAAGCTTCAATTACTCTCCCAGTAAGACAGAAACCAACAAGGTTATAAACGAACTAAAAAAAATGCCAGTGATTCAGACTGACTGGATCTAATTGACATTTATAGAAAAATCTACACAACAAACAGAATACTCATTCTTTTCAAGGGCACATAGAATATTCAGCAAGATAGGCCACATCACAGATCATAAACAAATGTTAACAAAGTTAAAATAATTAAAATCATACGGAGTTTGTTCTCACACAATAAAGAAATTAAACCAGAACCAATTATAGAAATATAGTAAGAATATATCCAAATTAAAAGAAAAGAAAAATCAATGAAAATGAAAAGTGGTTCTTTAAAAAAAAATCAATAAAACATATAAATCTCTCAGCCAGATCTTTTAGAAATAAAATAGAGGAGCCCTACATAACCAAAACCAACAATGAAAGAGGGAATATCACTACAGATTCCATAAATACATAAAGGATAATAAAGAAGTATTATAAACTTTATACAAATAAATTCAACAAATTAAATGAAATAGACAAATTCCTTGAAAGGCCCACACCACCAAAGCTCATTGATAAAACAGAATCTCAACAACTTGAAACTCACTAAAGAAATTGATTTCACATTTAAAAACAGAGAAAACTCCAGGCCCAGATGGCATCAATGGTGAATACTATACAACACGTAAGTAAGAAATAATGCCAATTTCTACACAAACTCTCCTGAAAAAGAAAAGAGAAAGGAATCTATTTTATGACACCATCAACACCCTGATACCAAACCAGAATAGTCTTTTACAAAAAAATTACAGACCAATATACCTCATAATCATGTAACAAAAAATCCTCAACAAAGTATTAGCAAACCAAATCCACCAACGTAAAAAAGATGTTACATAATGACCAAGTGGGATTTATGCCAGGAATTCAAGGTCAGCTTAATGTCTGAAAATCTATCTATATAATTCACAGTATTAAAAGACTAAAAGCAATAAATAAATAAATAACCATTTCAACACCACAGGAAAAGCTTTTTGATAAAATTCAATATTCCCATTAATGGACAAAATTCAGCAAACAGAATTTAGATATTTTCTTTTTCTCCTAAGATCAACGAGGCAAGGATGTCTGCTCTTGTCACTTTTCACCCACAGCTTTACTAATGTATAATTGACAAATGAAAATTGTATATATTTAAGGTGTACAATGAGATGATTTATGTGAAATGATTAGCACAATCAAGCTAATTAACATATGTATCTCTCTACATAGTTAGCATTTTATGTGCATGTGCAGTGAGAACACTTAAAATCTACTCTCAGCAAATTTCAAGTATACAATACAACATTATTGACTGTACATTAGATCCCCAGAACTTACTCATCTTACAAGTGAAAGTTTACGTCCTTTGACCATCATCTCCATTTCACCCACTCCCCAGCCTCTGGCAACCACCACCCTACTCCCTGGCTCTGTGATTTCAACATTTTTAGATTCCACAGCTAAGTAAGATCATAGCGTATTTATCTGTTGGTTTATTTCACTTATATAGCATGTCTTCCAGGTTCAACCCTGTTGTGGCAAATAGCAGGATACACGTTTTTAATGGCTGAATAAATCCCACTGTAAATATATACAGTTGACCCTTGAGCAACACACACAGGTTTGAACTGTGAAGGTCCATTTATACGTGGGGTTTTTTTTTTTCAATAAATACCTACTACACTATCCAGGGTTGGTTGAATCAGAGAACATAGAACTGCAGATAGAGAGAGCCAACTGCAAAGTTATACACAGATTTTTGATTGCACAGAGGACTGGTGTCCATAACCCCTACCCTGGTTCAAGGGTCAACATTTTCTTTATCCATTTATCCATCAACAGGTTGATTCTATACTTTGGCCACTGTGAATAATGCTGCAATGAACATGGGGTAATGGGGTAACATACAGAGACTACTACTTTCATTTCCTCTGGACATATACCAGAAAGTAGGATTGCTGGATCAGACAGCAGTACTACTTCTAATTTTTTGAGGAATCTCCATCCTGTTTTCCAAAGTGGCTGCACCAATTTACATTCTTACCAACAGTGTGCAAGGGACCCTTTTTGTCACATCCTCACCAACGCTTACTATCTCCTGTCTTTTTGGTAACAGCCATCCTAAGAGGTACATGGTGTTATCTCCTAGTGGTTTGATTTCTGTTTCCCTTATGATTAGTGATGCTATGTACCTTTACATATATGCATGTCCTCTTTCAAAACAATGCCTGTTCAGGACCTTTGCCCATTTTTTAACCATTTCTTTGTTGTTGCTGTTGTTTTGTTTTGGTTTTGCTTGAACTGTATGAGTTTCCTTACATATTTTGGATATTACCCCCTTCTCAGATGTATGGTTCACAAATATTTTTCTCCCATTTCATAGGCTACCTTTTCATTTTGTTTCCTTCGCTGGGCAGAATATTTTTTATCTGATATAGTCCCACTTACTTTTGCTCTTGTTGTCTGTGCTTTTGGTGTCATGTCCGTGAAATCAGTTAAGACTAATGCAAGAAGCTTTTTCCTTGTATTTTTTTGTAGGAATTTTATGGTTTCAGGCCTTGCATTTATTAGTCTATTTCAAGTTAATTTTTGTATATGACATAT